ACCAACCATGGATCCAACACTGCCATGACCACTAAACTATGTCCTGAAGTACTAAGTCTACACGTTTTTTGAACACCTCCAGGGATGGTGACTCTGCCACTTCCCCGGGCAGCCTGTTCCAATGCCTCAGCACTCTTTCAGTAAAGAAACTCATCCTAATATCCAACTAAACCTCCCCTGGTGCAACTTGAGCCCATATCCTGTCGCTTGTTGTGTGGGAGAACAGACCAACCCCCTCCTCACTATAACCTCCTTTCAGGTGGTTGTAGAGAGAGATAAGGTCTCCCCTCTGCCTACTCTTCTCCAGACAATCAACCCTAGTCCCTTCAGCCGCTGCTCATAAGACAGTAACTCATTGAGAAATGTCAAGGGGTATCAATTTGCCTAGAAATACTGGATCTCTACGATGGCATTAGTGACAAAACTGCAGAGCTGAAAGCACTTTGCTAAATTTTGCTGGTAAAGGTGACTTCTGCTTGGCAGAAATAAGGTAGATTAATTTTGTTGTGATAGATTACAAAATTATTAAAGCAGCTTGAGCTCAGGAGTTGAGAGCCTAGGTATTTGTCCTGTAGTCCCATCACCAATGTTATAACCAGTGTTGTTGTCCTTAGGTAGGCAGGAGGACAGGTACAAGGTGTGTGTGGTGTTCCCATGGCTCTGTCAGGCAAAGGTGTGTACAAAGGAGCTGGCTGCCACGTGGGTTGTCTTTGCAGAATGCCAGAGCAGTGCAGCTCTTTGTTCTTGACTCCCACGTTTGCCTGTGCTGATGGGAAGTAAAGCAGACCTTGTCTGTGTGTGTGCCACAGTGCTGGCTGGCCAGTCTGGGCAGGAGGAGCACCAAACCCCTCCAGCTGCCGTGGCCCACCAAGGTGATACTGAGCTTGAAACAGTTGAGGTGGGGAGGGGGGTGTTTGGATATTTGGGACAGAGAAGAAGGGAAAGCTAAGGGGATGTTTTCCACAAACCTGTAGGATGTGAAGCTCTGAGAGTTGTAGTTTGGTGTACAGTGTTAGATTTCGGTGTAGATGTTCAGGAGTTTGTAAAATAAAGTTAACGTGTGGGTTTAGACAGATTCTGGAGGCTTACATTTTAAGGTTGAAAAACTAAATTGAGTAGGTTTTCTCAGGTTCTCTACAGAAGCTCAGAATTCCTTCAAAATGTGTCAGTTCTCAAAATATGTCTGTTACCCTGTTGGCACAGGTATTAATGAACAGTGGATACGTTTTTCTTGGAGAGTATTCCCTGTCAGAAAGGGGTGGAGGTTAAGTGTCAGAGAGATGGCATCATGTTTTTCTGCATGTGGAAGTTCTTTGCCTTGTAACTGCAACAGACTTTCCTTCTGTCCTGCGTGCTACCAAGAGGAGAAACCTACTTTGGTAGGAAGGAGTGATGTCAGCAGCAGATGATAATAATTTTGCAACAGGAAGACATTTTTGGGCTTTTCTACATAAAAGAGGCATTGAGGGGAAAATAATCATATGAATTTAAAGGCAAATCACTCTTTTGAAATAGCTTGGAGAAGATGGGATCATGAGACTTTCAAAAACAAGGAGGCCCTCCAACTTTTCAGCTGCTTGTCGTGGCTTCAGGAGAAATGACTCCTGCCACGACATCATAGGCTTCTACCAGATCAAGGTCATTTGAGGTTTGTCCTTAATTTCTTTCTTTCCTCAAGGTGCAGTTTTAATGTTTCTGTGTTTCAAAGGTCAGAAATTAGTGGCTTACTCTCTTTGTACAGCAGTGAATGCTTCAGCTGATATTTGTCTAGAATGACCAGGCTGGTTATGAATTACTGATGAGCTGATTGAAATCACTTCCTAATAGAATTTAAGTTTGGTTTTTTTTTTTTTTTATTTGTTCTTCATAATGGGTAAATTATGAGCTCTAAAAGAGTTTAATTTTTTTTTTTGTTTCTGTGTTTGCATCATACACAAATGAAACTATTTAAATTCTTCCTGCCTGTCTCTTGCTAGTCTTATTAGAAATTCTATCTAACTATGTAATCTATTATGAAAATTAACACCAAGAGAACTGGTCAGGACATTCCTGGAATTTCTATTAATATGAATTATAAAATGTTAATTTTACATTAATTTCAAAAGCTGTTAATGAAATTGCTATAAATGGCTAACTAAAATTCCTTCTACTTAGCAGAGACAGTGAAAATTTACAGGTTCAAGTATTGCCTTTTGATAAATCTCCTTACACTATTAACTTCTTACCTAGACAGGCTATAAAAATGTAACCTACAGAGAATATAGACAAACAGAAGGAACTTAAACCAAACTAAGAAAACTCTCAGTCTTTCATCAGTGACTCTGAGCTGCTACCTCCTCCCCCTGTGCTTGGTATTCATCTTGATTAATACAGATCAGTGCAGGGAATTCGGCAGGGAACCGTTAACATCCACACAGCACCAGTAAAAATGTTTTATGAATAGAAGGTATATATTAAATTTGATTTGACTTGGGTTGTAGAACAAATGAAAAATAGAGGGCTTTGTTTGCCACGGTGCATATAATGTAACCGTTTTATATCTTACAAAGTGGTTATATTTCTATTTGATTTGGTAATGTTTTATATTGATCACCAGTCTACACAACTATGTTACTGCTAAGAGCAAGCATTTAGAATCCTTAAGGGAAGAATCACCAGGTTCATTAACACAAACTCCTGCCTCCTACTTGAATGATAAAAATCGTATTTTGAATTTCTTTCAGTTTAGCATTTGTTTCCTCATGTTTTTGGGACCACTTGTAGAAAATTTTTCTGGTCTTCAGAGTTGTAATTGAGTTTTCTGGGGTGTTTTGTGGGTTTTGGTTTTGCAATGAAAAGAAGAGGGGTTTACCATACCTGTTTCCAAGTACAGGGCAGATAATCAGTAGGATGAACAGTCTTGTGTTACCAGTAACTCCACTGAACCTGAATATAGAACAATACTATTTCATAACATCAAAACATGTCCATCTTCATACATTTTTCTGATTCAACAGGTCAAATGAAAGTGTGTCTATCTTTGTTATAGCCTTGCTTGCTGCAGCTGTTAGGATGCTTAAGGTTGGTTTCTTTTTAAATACCTGCAGTGTTTCTTTGTATGCCTGCAATCACTTATCATTTGATTTAGTTTTCTGTAGTTGGGGGTGGGTTTCACCCAGAGAAAAAAAGAAAAGTGTTATGCTTTCTTTCTCTGTACCAAATGCTTTGAGGTTTTAATTTCCTGAACTACTTGGAAGATGCGTTTATTTCACAAGACAAAAGCAAGGATGTTTTCACTTAGTCCTGACATGGAACTGTCTGAGTCAGAGTACAGGGATGCAGCATAGATCATGACCTGTAATTCTCATTTCTCAGTAATTTCAAACTGTTGAGAGTGCTGTATCCACATGTCCCTAGCAACATGGCCACTCATCCTTTTAACACCTCTTTCTCCTTGTAATCTGAAGTCATTGTCTTCTTTCCCAGATGAGTTCTTTTGCCTTTCATTGTTGTCTATTAGGAAGTTGTTCTTTAGCTTAAATAACAATGTAGTTAACAGACTGTGGGCTTTCTTCTGATTTCCTTCTGATATTAAATACTTTTATATAAAAAATGGAAAAATGGAAATTAAAAAATATTTACCTCTTGCCAGAACAGCAGGATATTGTGTAGAATGCAAAAATGGAGGTGATGGAAAGAAAATACTTTCAGGTAGTAACACAGGGGTCTCTGTTAATTTAGTAGCAATTCTCATTTAGATCTGGGTGTAACTGACTGCTCAGCTGCTGTAGGGAACAGGATTACCTGGTGTTGCTAGTATCAGAATTCAGAGGTCCTCAAGAGTACTTTTTTTTTTTTTTTTTTTGTCTGCCTATCTATGGTCTTTGCAGTTTTGAGAATTCTTTGTGTAGCAACCTTCTGAGAATACACTTCCTGTGGGTATCTTCTTCCCAAGAACATATGGAGGAACTGCTGGAAGCAGAGCAAGGACTGTGGCTGAAGTGGGGTTTGAGTAATGGAGTGGCATGGCAGGTTTATTTTTTTATGGAGGAAGTAACAGGCAAGCGAAGGAACAGGATTTTTTTTTTTTTTGAGAGGAGCTACAGTGCTGAGTTACTGTTCCTCAGTGAGGGCTTGAGACAAGAGGCAGTTTTGTTGGGAGAGTAGAGGGTCTTTGTGTTGTTACCAGCAGCCCCTTTTGTGTCTCAGAAGACTTTTCTGTTGCAGAACTTGTGGCACTTCTACGTTCAAACAAGTCTGAAAACACTGGGGTTTAAGATGGAGTTGTAGTGTAGCTTGTTAAAGCAGTGGCCTGTGAATGTTCTTCTGAGAAGGTGGCAGTGACCCAGCTCTAGGCCAGACTTGAAATGTCTGGGGTTCTAGCAGTTTTAATATTTCCTAAACAAAGGCAGCTGTTAATCACTGTGTTTAGACCTCATGTGTCTATATAAGTGTGTAGATATATAAAAAAATGCATATGCAGGTTTACATGCATGTCTCTCTCTTTTTTTAAGAATAAAACAGATTTGCAGAAGATTAAAAAACAGGAAAAAAGTAATTTTGGTAAAATTGGGAGTGATTAGATATGAAATAATGAGGAGGGGATCTATTCCAAATGTCAAACTAGAGGAATGAACAGTGCAGGTGGAAGGAGAGGATGTAATAGATAATGTAATATACTTGCATTTAAAATAGGGGGTTTTGTCTCCTAACTTCTCATGCATCCAGGATGTGTACTTGCTGTGTGTCGGAGCTGAGAGGCCTCTGACTGAGGCACATGTGTCAGGAGGGGAACTTCTTTGCTTTCAAGTAATCAACAGACAAAAAGTGCCAGAACTGCTGTGTTGAAGCTGGGGTTCTTTAGTGTGTGTTATTTGGTAGGTGGCGGCTATATGTGCCATCTTGTAGTGATAGAAGGTAGATATAAAATAAAAATATTTTTTAATACTGATTTGATCCAGATGCAGAGGAGACATTGCTTGGATGTCTTTAGCATCTTTGGGTTTTGTCTTTCCTGCCAGCTCTATGTGGCCACCGAAGCCATCCTCATTGCATTGGTGGGTGCAACTCCTCCCTACCACTGGGATCTCCAAGAGCTCTCAGCTAATCAGAGCCATAGCAACCAGTCAGCAAGTGAGCAGAGAGCTTTTGGGGAATGGCTTCTGACCGCCAATGGCAGCGAGGTGCACAAGCACGTACACTTCAGCAGCAGCTTCACATCAATAGTCTCTGAGGTAAGTCTGAAGTATGTTTTGTGTGTGAGTAGTAAATCTGATTGGGTTGTGTGCAGGGGGCTGGTTGTCCTGTTTCTCTCTTCCATAATCATGTTTTGATTAGTAAATCCTGCTTGCATCCAGGTAGAGAACAGGTAATCTACTCATGTATTTACTGGCAACCAAAACTAGCTGTATTTTGCTGTGCAGATCTTGACCAAAGTTCTGCTCCAAAATTTCCCATATTTTTCATGTGGAAGTTATATATTGGATTCTGTAGTCTGTCTGGTTCCACAATTGAGATGGAATCATGTCATTCATTGTATTGATGTGTTCAGAATCTTTCATGGACCCTGAGCATTTTCTGGCCACTTGTTAAGGTCAAACGCATGCAGTGCATGCATCATGTGTTTAGCAAGCAGCAGAGGAACTGGAGGGAAAGTGGCTCCTGCAGTCTTTGCAGCTCCAGGTACGAGGGAAGACCTGTGCAGTGGGGAGTCAAGGGAGCAAAGCAACTCCCCTCGTTCTGTCCCAAAACCAGTTTTAGCTTTATTGATGTGGCCTCTGTGTTTTGTAAGTGTCTTCTTTCATGGTCTTCTTTCCTGGTTGCAAGACTTGAATTTAGAGCAGTATGGTTGAATCAAGTGCAGTACCACTTTATAATTCATGGCTATTGTCCAGAGGTATTAATGCTATCTGAATTAGTCCTCTAAAGCACTTAACTTTATTGGTTATGAGCATATTAAGAACTGCCAGCTTTGGAATAGGACCAAGCAGTTGTGTACAATGGGTGTTGCTTCTTACTCTGGTAGTAAGGAGGGTATGAGTGAGTATTTATGCCACAATTTAAATTAAAATCCTGATGAACAGTGGGGGGTTTTTTAAGCATTATTCAAAGCCCAGTAAGGTTTTTCAAAGTTTCTCTGGACTTTTTTGTGTTTTAATTTATCTAAGATTATTTTAGTCTTTTAATCTTTATAAGTCAGAGAGATTTGTTGAGCCTAAAAGTGGTTTAGGACGTAAATTTTATAAAGTTTTAAGTGTTGTAGTTGCATAAATAAATGCAAGTAAAGAATGAAGTTCACTTGGAGGAAAAAAAAAAAAAAAAAAAACCACTAAAAAAAAAAAAATCCAAAGGCAACTTGTCTAGATTCTGCTTTGTAGTTCTTTAATATACTTCTCAGTTAAGGCCCATGTATATAAAATCTTGTTATCTTTCCTGTTTCCCAGTGTTAAAATACACTATCTTCAAAATGTGTTAGCTGAATGTGTGGTATATTTCAAAGTTATGTGCTAAATACAAAGATTTTGTTGAGATAACACTTATTTGGAGGATATCTCATCTTTGTCTAACTTCATTGTTGACATGTGAAGAAGCTTTTTCTACATTTAAGGAGAATGTTTTTAATGCTTATCTTGTGGTACCACTTACTAATAACATGGTCATAGAAAAATATATACTGAAAAATATCCTGATGTAAAAAGTTTGATTTATGAATGTCAAGCATATATACGTAATGTGCTTTATGTAGAAGAGAAAAGCCTTGAGCCCTTTAAACAGCTTCTTAGCTGTTGAGATTGACTTTCAGGAAAAAAATTTGCTTCACAACCAATTTATACCTTAATTCCTGAATGATTCAGAAAGCATCTAATGTCACAGAGTTTCAGTGTTGGCAGCTTTAAAAATTTTTATACCAAAAGTTAGGGCATGGTTCTTGTACCTCTTATAAACCAAACTGACCATGTTATTTCAAGATAAAATTAATCTCACATGCTGTTATTATACAAATGTATTTTTCTGGGAGTTTTTAAAGTCTAGAGGAGCTTTTAAAGCTGATTTGTGGTCACGTGGTTAGTTTTAGAATTGAATTTTGTTGGTCTTGGCACTTTATGGGCACATTACTTACCATATCAGTAAACACCTCGCCATTAAAGTGACAATTCAAAATGAATCATATACTGAGAATAAGCAAGTTATTTTCTTGGAGCTTCTGGATTATTTTGTTTTGTTAGATTCCTAATCTTGGTGAAGTTTAATTGCATGACTCTCCTCTCATGACAAGGTAGTTTATAACTGAGCTTTGAAATAAAATAAGCTTTGCTAGAAAAGATATCTAATGGGATTGTGATAGAGGAAGAGAAGATTATGAGGAGAAGATTAGAGTGTTATTGCAGGGATAGTGGCATAATCACCAGCTTAACCAGCACAGGAAGAAAAGTTGGGTGTCACTAAAAGGAAACAGTATCTCATGATGCAAGAGGGGTAGAAAAAGGAAAGAAGAAAAGATATGGAGTTTTTAGAATACAAAAGGAAATAACTTTTGAGGGGGGAGAGCATGGCATATTTTCATTTTGTGGTTTTGTGGGGGAAAGGATTTCCTGTCAGGTTCAACCTGAGATGTTAAGTCTGTAAGAATCAAGTATATGAAGAATAGGGTTTGTATTTGGAACTGAGAAGAACTGGAAAGGACACAAAGTACACTGTAAAAAAAGAAAAGTGTTTGCAATATCAGAAAACCTGTCAAAATGCTGCAGTGTTTCTCAGTGACATGACTGTTTTTAAGGAGGAGCATGTGCAGGATTATCTTTGGACAGAAACCACAATTTTTGTTTTTGCATAGTATGCCTGCACACTGCAGTGACATGTCAAGAGGTAGGACTGAGTCTATTTAAGCTAATAGATTTATGGCAGAAAAGGCAATAAAAGGAGAGTGGGAGAAAGCTGTGAAAATTGCAACATTCTGTAAAGGAGCTGGCCTTGATTTCCGAATCAAAGACTGCACGTGATTTGGGGGAGCTGTGCAGTTGGTTAGTACCACCTGGTGAGCCTGGGAGACAGCGGTTGTGTTTTGGTGACTGATGACTGAATGTCATGCTTAGGAGATGTATGCAAAGTTTGATCTTCCCTAAAGTATGTGTCATCCTCCTCCAACTATTAGCTGTTGGTAAACTGCTGAACTTTGTGGATTCTGATTAATTTGCCTTTTTTTTCCCCTCCTTACATCCAGTGGTTTTTAATTGGCAACACATCATACAAAGTCAGTGCTGCCAGTTCTTTCTACTTCAGTGGTGTGTTTGTTGGAGCAATCTCCTTTGGCCAGCTCTCAGATCGCTTTGGGAGGAAGAAAGTCTATCTCACAGGTAACCACTGCCACCTAACAAAAGGAATGAAGTGGAGGTGTCATAGCTCTGAAAATTAGTGGCAAGAGCCCAGTTTCTGCAGGGAGTTTGACACGCAGCAGTGAATCATGTACTGTGATTTTCAGTTTTTCATTTTTCACTTCCAGTATATTTCAGGAATATAAGTAGAGACAAGAAGTTAAATATTTGACTATTCAGTCACCATCTGAATGTCTGTGAGGTGTTCCAGGTTTAGGAATTGTACCATAACAGCTGACACTCATGCATGTCATGCTCGTGGGATCTCCACAGGTTGCAAGTAATATTTCTAGTGATTTGTTAGCAATGTGCTTACATGTATAACCTGCTAGGAATTTGTTGCACCTTGTATCTCTGCATGATGTAATTTTTATATTATTTGTGATCCTCATTGTGTTTTAAAGCTCATTAGCCTTTTTTACTGTTCCCAGATCAAATAACATTTGGAACTTCATGTTTTGTGTATATATGTGTAAAGTTGTGTGTCAATGGATGAGCATGGAATTAAAAAATTTTTTTTTTTTTTTTAAAGGAAAAACCTCATTCAAAGCAGATGAAGGTGGGCCTGCTATGCAGTGCAAACTCCTCATCTGCTGCCCACTGGTAACATCTTCTCTAGTCTGTATAGACTAATCCCCAAGAATGAGGGGAGATACTTGGGTTGTATATTAACCTGTGCCTTCTCTATGGCATCTGAACTGGAGCCCAAAAGTAGTTCTGAGTATATGAAAAAATTGCCTGCCATGAACTGAATTGGAAGGTTTAGTACTGAAAACTGTGTGTTGGAAACCACTCCTTTTGTGTCTCCTCCCTTTTATGATACTGACTTTAGGTACTTCTATTTCTGCCCACACCTGTGCCGTAGTGGTTGACTGTGATTACTTAGGATAGATGTCACTGAACATCAAGTCAAGATACTGATTGATGCTTCTGTTCTGTTTTAGGTACTCTTTTGAAATGAAACCTTTCACCTTTTTTTTCAGGTTTTGCTCTTGACATCTTGTTTGCCATTGCAAATGGATTCTCCCCCTCCTATGAATTCTTTGCCGTCTCTCGCTTCTTGGTAGGGATGATGAACGGTGGGATGTCACTTGTGGCCTTTGTTCTCCTGAACGAGTGTGTGGGTACTGCCTACTGGGCGCTAGCAGGTAAAGTTTAAGTGCCAGTGCCTTTATTTTCAGCATTTATACGTTTCAGCCTCACCTCTTGAGACACATCAAAGCTAACACCACAGCAGCTGGGCATTTAACTCCACTTCCAAGTCTGTGTGACCACAGTCCTTGAGCCCTGCTTTGCATTCAGACTTCTGCATGGCTCAAGCTGACAAAGGTCCAGTTGGAACATCCCCTGTGAGTGTTACACAGCTGAACACTCATCCAGAGTTCACACTAGCTAAGTTCTATCCAGTGGAATTTTTGACTTTGCCAAGCAGAGCTTAGCGTGTGTGTGCTAAACATCAATTCCTTCATTCCTGGCAGTTCTCAAAGAGAAATCAAAAGTGGTTTTATATAATGGGAAGTTGACACAACTGTTGTATATATGGAAAAAAATAAATGTTCTCCCATGTAGTAATCAACCTTAGAATTTAGAATAAAAGATACAGACACCATTAACTGTCTTGGTTGCTAGTGTTAAAGTTGGCCTTCAGATATGATGCATATAAATTGTACCCTTAACAGCTCTGGGGCCTGACTAGTCTGTGTGAAATGCCCTAGAAGCCCTATGCTGGACTGTTTTAAAACAAGGTGTCTTACAAATCATGAGCTACAAATGATCACTATATATCCCTAAAAATACCATTTTTCAGTGGTTTATGGTTTTTGTTTTTACACATAAAAAGCTGAAACATATTTGGACTTAAAAGACTGAGTTCTTTGTAGGTTTTTATTGGAGGAGGAGGGTATGGAATAGTGCTTTTTGGGCTTGTCTTTGCAGTTAGATGTAGTATTTCTGCCATGCATGAGTGAAGGACAGAATATCCTTTAGTCAAGTAGCTGTGGTTTTGCCTGTATTGCTGAATGACTTCTTCTGAATGAAATGTTAGTTTCTTTCTGATCCCATGTGTTGAGAGTTAGTAATGTTCCTTAAAGGAGTCACGATGTTTTGTTTTGTTTTCAATTGCGTTAGGATCTATTGGTGGCTTGTTCTTTGCTGTGGGAATTGCCCAGTATGCTTTATTAGGGTACTTCATTCGTTCCTGGAGGACTCTGGCTGTTGTGGTGAACCTGGAAGGAACAGTCGTCTTTCTTCTTTCTCTGTAAGTTACTTTTCAAACTGAGTTTCATCAAGAAAGATGTCAAAAATAAGAAAAGAAAAATAAAACCCAAATGAGCCTAAAGGCACCCAAGTCAAGGTGCCTTTCTAAGATGGCTTGAAATGGTGTAACCAAGTTATTACTCTCAACCTCTGCTACCTCATGTTCTGTGCTTTCTTTAAACAGCAGTGCTGCAGTATTTGAAAATGTAAGTGTATGTTGTATTGTATATGCTTTTTTATGGGAACAGACTCTAGTGTGGTGTTAGAAGCATGCCCTGTTCTTTAACTGGTATATGTAGATGATCTAAAATGTTGTTTGGTTTGCTACAAGATGCTACATATACATGTTAAAAGATACAGAAATGTTTTTGCAGTTATATGATAACAATGTTTCTCTTGTACTTGTGCTTACCTGGGAGGAACAGCATCAAAATGGCTTGCACATACAGCATTAAAGGTGACATGCAACAATAAAAATGGGCCACTTCCTTTTACCACGTGTGATTAGGAAAGAATAGGAAGAGGGCTTCCTTATTAAGATATTAGAAGTGTTGTGTTTGTGGACTTGAGCACTGGAAGCTATGTGAGGCAGTGTGCTCTTCTTCTCTTCCATGCTTCCTGACAACAAGATCTCAGTAACTGAAAGAAGGGGAAAATTTACCTGCTGTTTAAATTTAGGGCTTTTTTCTTTCCAACATTTATTTAACTTCAGTAACTAACTTTTTGAATAAAGTTCTTTGCTAAAGAGTAAATGCATCCTTTCAAAGGAGACAGCAAAACTCAGGAAGAGGTCTTAGAACCTTAGAAGAGGTGAAAGACAGAGATGACATTTCTGGTATTTCAAAACCTAGTGAAGTATGGGGGTTTGGGAAAAAAAAAAATTACCTTTTGGATTGATATGTACAATTTTTTTTAAAGTGCTTTATGCTTGGGACTTCAGAGCTGTGCTCAGAGGCCTATGTTAGTGTAAGAAAGGATTTTTTTTCTTTATTTCAGTTTTCACACTGCCTGCCTCCCATATTGCTTAAAAATTGCTCTGTGCAGAAAATACTTTTTTTTTATCATGGGGAAAAAGACATGTTCCTTTATAAACTATTTTCTTTTATAAAAGTAGAGAATCACTTTCCTTTAAATTTAAAGGAAAAAATGTCACTTCTGGTCACAGGCAAAAATCTTAAAAAGCTTCTGGCAAAAGACTAAAGTTTAAATTAGTTCTGGGAATCTAAAGGTAATAGAGGAAGATTCATTTTGTAGGCTGTGTTGGAGTTAAGACCTATCAAGTGCATATGGGGATCAGGAACATGACCTTTGCACAGCCTCTGCCTTCCTATCTACAGGAAAGAAGTTGGAAAATGAGAAACAGAAGACAACCAGCTGGTGTTACAAAAACATCCTGTGTAATGTAATCCTTGTAGTAATGTGGTGCCTCCTTAATTCTGAATTCTCTGAAGACAGGGTCCTAATGATACTGTAATGTATAGTATTGTGCATAGATGGGTATGCTCAATACCATTTCTTGGTATTTGAATTACATATGACTTATGTTCCCTTTGAAGACCTTTTGTCTCTGTTTCAGTAAGTGAATTCTATACCTGAAGGGTTGTGTGAAACCTCCTTTGTCATACTGAAACACGTTTCAGCCCTATTTACATAGCTGAGTCCAGCCTTGTAGAAAAGCAAAGCCCTAGAGCTGTCTCTGTGCGTGTGTGTGTTTCAGATTCATTCCCGAGTCGCCCCGCTGGCTCTACTCGCAGGGCCGGCTGACTGAAGCAGAAGATGCCCTCTACCTCATTGCCAGGAGGAACCGCAAGCAGAAGTGCACTTTTTCCTTAAAGCTCCCCACAGAGAGGAGCCCCAGAGAGGCTGGCAGCTTCTTGGATCTCTTCCGCTATAAGATTCTCTTGGGACGCACCTTGATCATGATGTTTACCTGGTAGGTGAAATGGTTTGTAGGCCCAGCTCTGCTACTGTTGCCTCTCTCAGTCTTTGAGAAAACACGTTGCTGAGAGTTGGCTCATCCTGCAGGTTGTATATCATCTCAGCCTGTATCATTAGGGGCACCACCTAAAAAGGATTCTTGTGTTTTGCATTTCCTTGGTGAGTTTCTAACACAAAGCTATTTTTACAGCGTAGTTCTGAGGTGTTTCATCTTTGCATTTCTCTCAGGCTTTGAGTCTCAGAATAGCTGGGAACTACTGATTCCTTTCTGACCCTCAAAGGCTGCTGAGATCAGTCACGCTGTCCTTCTCTTTGGCCCAGTGCTGTGTCAGTACTTTCAGTCACGTGGATTATTCTTTGGTTTGTGTGTGAGGATCCCATTAGCAGGTGGGTGGCCTACCTTGTCTAATGAGTGTGTTTATTTTAAGAGAAACTGCTGCCAATGCCAGTAGTTGCTGTTGAGCAGGAATCCGTGATGCTATGTCTAGTCACTAGCAGAAATTTAACTTCAAAAGTATCTATTTTGTTTCAGATATCTCTGCTAGCCCTGAGGTCTTTTGATGCTATTTTGAAATAAGTCTGATGTGTGACAAGCTGTATGAGTCCTATGGCATTACTGTTCATGCAGTTGCTTTTATAATGCATATATTTGGAAAAGATTCATTGTTTAATAAAAAAAAAACCAAATGGCATTATTTTGTCAGCAGACAGCACAGATGTCTTACTCTGCTTTTCCAAATGCTTACTGCAGAACTGTTGAATTTTCTTTTCCTTACATGAGAATTGCTGTTTTCCTGCAGAATGATTAATGACCTGTTCCTTTCCTCTTTGTAAAGACAGCAGCTGGTCAAGGTTACAAAAGAGAAGTAAAAAATCTGAATTGGCAAATGAATGAAACTGGACCAGCGTGTAGAAGTTAAAAGGCAGGCGTGTCACAAAGTTTTTTACCTAGAAAGCAATTGTAGAGAAACGTTTTAGACCTATTTTCTGAAATGCTAACTATAGTTTATAGTGTATTATGACAGAGTAGTGCTTCAATTTGGCGGGCAAAGCAGCAGCTCTGATTTTACTCCCTTTCTGTCTTTTGCAGGTTTGTGTGCAGCTTGGTTTACTATGGTCTTACTCTTAATGTGGGTGACTTAGGTGGAAGTATTTATGCCAATTTAGCCCTTTCCGGGTTGGTTGAAATCCCAGCATACCCAATCTGTATTTACTTGATTAACCAAAAATGGTAAGGATGAAATTTATTAACCCATTCTCTTTGGTTTATAATTTTTCTAGAAGAAATGTTATATTGTATCTACTTGCTTATCTCTGTCGTGTGGGGCTTCCTGCTTCGATTTGAAAGTGCCACTGGTATATCTTCGCTTCCCATAACAGTTTAAGTTGTTTTCAGTAGTTCACTTACTAATGAGCTGTCTAATTGAAGCTCATGGGTGAGGCTGATCTCGATGGGTCGAGCCTAGCTGCACTGCCTGCCATGCTAACAGAAGGTGGCGTTCTTCCCACCGCTGTCTCCTCATCCGCATTTATGTCAAAGCTGTTGCAGCTGAACTCGGCAGTAGCTGCTGTCTGGTTTCCTGTAATAGCTGCTGTGTGCACTAGTAGGTGAGATATTTAACCTTTTCCTGAGCTGTGGTACTCTGGGCAATGTTTTTCACTTTTTGTAGAATTCACCCCCCAATCTCTTTATCTGTCTTCCAAGGAGCTTTGCAAACGTGCACGCGCTGGGAAGCAAGGCACAATCCTAGAAGCTGTCAGCCACTGCACAAAGCTTTCTTGGTGCTCATTTAAGAGTGCAGTAGAAGCTTGTTTAAAAATTATGTGAGAGAAGGTGTTTGCAGGAGATGGTATTCAGAGTTTCAGTGTGAGTTTAGAGGACTCGTTGCTCTGCTAACTACCCATCTAATGCAGAATAAAGCTTTTTTTTTATCCTTGCACATCAGGTTTGGTCGGAAGCGAACGCTGAGTGCATTTCTGTTCCTGGGAGGATTGGCCTGTCTTATTGTCATGTTCCTTCCTAAAAAGAAAGGTAAATATTTCCTTTTGTTTCTGGAGTATGTGATAAGAGTTGGTAAGCACAGCATCCTGCAGCCGAAGAATTTGAGGGTTGCCAGCAGACTAGGCTCATACCACATGCGAGTCTCAATTTTTGAAGCCAGACAAGCTAACTTGCAAAAAGGATAAGTGGCAACCTTCCAAGCCCTTTAAGGAAAGCTTGTTAGAAAGGTTTGGCTTTGAACTTTTGTCGTTGGATTCTGCCTTTTACTTCTGATCACTCAATCAAGCCTTTCCAGTGTTTGTAACTTAATCCCAAAGAATGATGTTTCTTGGGATATCTCCATTATTATTATTAAGAGATATATCAATGTGAGTAGTACTTATGCACTTTTCTGTATCTCTTCGAGTGAAAGACCAATGTCAAAAGATCATAACAGTTGAATCCTGGGGCAAGTTTCCATCTTTTCCTCACTGCTCTGTATTTTTTAAGACTGGTAGGGCTGTAGTATTAGTAATGTGGCCACGTAACTTATAGTTCAGAGCTGAAAAGTCTTCTGAAGTGAGGTCTCTTTAAGAAATGTGAAACGAAATGTCTTTTTTTGTTAAGACACGGTAATGTTAATTTCTTTATTTTTTGAATGGTTTTAAAATGCTGGAAACAAAATTCCACTGTGCACAATTTTTCCTTTTATAACTAGGTAGGTAAGTCCATCTTGGATTGTAAGATATGCGCATGTCTAACACCTGTCATATGGAGAGAAAATGCTTCAAACATTTGAAGCATGATTCTGAAAAATTAAACATGATGAGGTGGCACATAAGTTGCTCTAGATGGCAACAAAGCTAATAAGTAAAACTTCTGTGCAACTCAAGTTCCCAGAAGTGTTCTAGATGCTAGAGCCCAGACACTCGGAGATATTCTGGTTAGGCTGGTACCAGTCATCAAGTAATTTTTGCACACCAGTCCAAGTATAACATGTGAAAAGGAAGAGACTTTTCAGAGGACAGAACTGTGAGACCCCTGGACATCAGCTGTGTGCTGAACTGCCAAAGTCAGCCAGGAGTTAAGTGCTGTAGGAAGTGATGTGGATAACTGGCCAGAAGCAAGCACTGGTCTCTGCTGAGCATCATTTTTTCAAAGGAGTAATGGTTTCTGCTGTAGCCTTCCTTGATAGGCATTTATTGTGTGTTCTGATGTGCCTGGTATAAGTGAAAAGCATTGGCCAAAACTGAGCTGGATGGCATACATTCTGTGGTTCTTTGCAGCATCTTCCTGTCTTAATTACTTTGGAAGAAAGAAAAAAAATGTTAGAAGCATGTTATCTTACTATGGAATTGATGCTGAATAGGGCTTTTGTTACTAAAAAAATCTAGTTCACTTTTGAAAAACATATCCATTATTAATTTGTTCAACTTACTGACAGAACTAGTTTAGTATTTTATTAATGGTAGACTTGGAAAATGTTGAGTACTAACTATAACTTTTCCCATATTTATAGGATTTTTTTTATCTTACATTTCTAAAATTTGATGTTCTAGTGGAGCCTTAATGCTGCATTTCAGTGCTTCAGAGGTGTCCCATACTGTAACACTGAGGAGAAGGAAGACTCAATTTCTCTTTTTTTTTTCTGGTATTGAGCAATAGTTCCACTCTGTAGTCTCTGGACCTGTTCAGTTATTTAACCCAATCTTTCTATCGAATTATATTTAATAGAATGGAATCAATTTTGGGCTACTAGTAACTCTGCTGTGAATTTAAAATCCATTTTTTTTTTTCAGTTATTTTTTCAGTATGTTACATGGAGAGTTGTCCTCTTTGTACAAATTTGATTACACAGACAAAGGTAATAAATCTGTAGACACAGAATATAAGTTATGTTGGGTGATTTCTGCCATTGCTGCCTAAAAGAAAGCTTCTTGCATTGTCTTGAGTTTTGAGAGTTCTTCAGAAGGTACAGATCACCTCTGACAAATGCTGTCCTTGACAGAAAAATGCTTGCAGTTGTAGCAGATTCTTAGTCGATTCCTTTAGTGAATTCTATTTTTATACTCCGTAGTGCTGTATGGTTGAAATGATCACAGAGATCTGTTTGAGCACTTGCAAGCCTTACTGGGGTCCCATTTTCTCTGTCAGATACTGGAGTGTTTGCAGTGGTGAACAGTCACTCTCTGTCTTTGCTGGGGAAACTGACAATCAGTGCTGCATTTAACATTGTCTACATCTACACATCAGAGCTTTATCCCACAGTCATCAGGTAACACAACTTAATTTTAAGGTCTTAATTTTTCTGGTTCTATTACCTGATCACCTTTTACTCCTCTATTACTGTTTTCTATTAACTATACTTTTTCATTTGAGATTTTCAGTTGTATATGATGACTACCTGTAGGTTTATGTGCTAAATTTCTTCCCTCGTCCTCTTCTCACTTCCTCTTCCCTCAAATTTGCAGTGTTCTCTTTAAACTAACTGCATTCTTTGTTAGAGTAAAACAGTCCTTTGGCTGCTTGCTATGCTTACAGCCCTCTCTCCACTAATGAGGATAGCAGCAATATTGCTGATATTCCTTTAATGAGTGATATCTCTTAACTTTTTCAGTGCTTTATAAACCAGACGGCTCCATTTAACATTCATACTTGCTTAACCAACAGCACTGAATATGACTGATAATAAGCTTTTTAAAAGTAACTTGATGGCTGTATGTAAGCAACAGTAAGGTTTCACTCCCTAGAGGCAGATGTATCCTGTGCTTGTGTTGACAGACAAAAGTCTTTATCATATGGGTGCTATTTTTAATACCTATTTTAACCAGGTATTGTTGATGATCAGCCAATGGTAAAACTATACTATGGTGTTTTTCATGGGTGGGCAAATCTGCTGATAAATAGAACTTGGATAAAGGAGTTCAGCCAAAGTTTCAGGCAGAGGCAAGATTAACTGAAGTCACACTTCTTTTTGCCTCTCTGTGTATGTGTGTTAGAATTGTGAATGTGCAGGGAATTTGTTTTAATTCCTGTCTTGGGATGCTATCAGTTACACTGGACTTTTTTTTTTTTTGCCAGTTAATGTGGTCATAACTGTGGGGATTTTCTTCCTTGCTCAATGGCCCTTTTGAAAAGTCATAATTTTGCCTATGCAAATATCACTGATTAATGTTTGTCTGTTTTCTTTTTAGGAATGTTGGAATGGGTGCCTGCTCCATGTTTTCCCGTGTCGGTGGAATCATTGCTCCTTTCGTCCCTTCACTGGTTTGTCTGAACTTCTCACTTTTTTTGTTCTGTCGCTCTGATGCTTACTGAGGTGGGAATATTCTGGATAAAATATGTATACAAACCAAGATATATAAATGGCATGTCTTAATAGTATCATGGTAGGCCAAAGGCATTGTGGTGTAATTTGTGTGATTAGACAAAAACTCGAGATGATTTAGTTCAGAAGATGTTTCATCCCTGTAAGAGTTCTGAGACTTAGCTAGTGCACTTCAGCAATATAGTAATCTCAAAATACCAAGGTGATAATACCAAATTTTAAACCCTAATTAAGCAATAGCAAAAAACCCACATAGTTAAAAGTTCTACTGCATCAAGATAAAGCATATGGGCTCAGTAACACATTTCTGAGAATAAATTAGTTTCATGTCAGTGCACTTCATTGAATATCCATGGATTATAATTATCATCAAAGTGATTTATCTTTCAATGAATGAAGATGGTGATGTGGAGACCTGATATACTGGAAAGACTTTTGAGCACAAACTTTGCAGCACTCTGTCAAGCCAAAGAAAAATTCTGAAGAATGAAACATGGGGACGATACTGTTACTTTCCTCTGTGTTCATAGTCTTAAGTGTATGCAGGTAGAAGAGTACCAGTTTTCCCCACAAACTGCTTGTTGAGGTCAACTGACAATTCCTATCATGTGACAGATTGCATCTCAAATAACTTTCTTCACTGCTGTTTGCCATCTTATGTCAGGCAGAGGGCTAGCAAAATGGCAGATGGGCACAGTGAGCCTTTTAATCTGCAGAAAGAAACATTGAGTAGGGTGGAGAGTGAGCACTTCCAGGGTAGAGCAGGCAAAGCCAAGACTGGTGCAGGCCTCCCAGGCGGATTTAATAGGCAGCTGTTATGTAGCAGTTGGAGCATCCATTATTTTGTATATGGCAGAGGTTTAGCACTGCAGTAGATGCCAGTCTTGGATCATCATGTTTGAAGGGGTTCCATGAAAGTGAAAATAGCTCTGGTTAAATAACAAAAGCACATTGATTCAAGGGAAAAACTACGGGGGTTTGTGTTTTGGAATTTCTTCAACTATTTTAATGTACTTTCATTATCTTTTTTCTGGGTATCTTGTAAAAAGGGTGGGAGTAGGAAAAGTTAATTGCTGAGATAAGTGATGAAATATTGCTCTTGTATTTGATCACAGCTTGTTATTTTATCAATTTAGGATTGATCTTTGCAAAATGTGAGTTTTTGAAACAAACAGCTAACTAGGCTCTTGTTTTGTTTTTAAATGAGCCTGCTTTTACTGGTCATCTGAAAGTGAATGTAGACATTTTGGAGCTCTGTTGCAGATTACTCATAGTTTTGCACACACCTTTGCCTGGTGTAGTTTTGCTTGTAACAAGTAATGTCAAAAGAGGGACTCGCATCAAAGGAGGCATGTAAACCTTGCTTAGGCTGTCAGGGCTGATGAGAGGAAGGCCAAAGCTCAGTTGAAGGTAAGACTAATAAGAAGAAGCATAAATAAGGATTTCATTAGCTAAAGAAAATCCAGAGAAGTTGTTTAGCCTTTTGTTGAGTGGGATGGACATCCTATTTGTGGATGAGATTGAATAAACTGAAATACTTACCACTTTTGCTTTAGTCTTCATAGGCAAAGCCTCACCCCAAGACTCTGTGCATATCAGCACACTTGAGGAAGCAGAGAGCCAGCAAACAGTGGAGGAGCAATAGGTTCAAGAACACTTAAAGCTGAAAGCTTTCCATTCCATGGGATAGGATTCCCTAAGAGGAGGTGAAAGAGGTGGCTGTGATAGTGAGGCAAGTGTCCATCATCTGTGCTTAAACCATTGTTGTAGGGAA